TGAATATGTTTTATGAATTATGGTGTGTGTATATTACGCACTTTTTCATCTCAGAAATTTACATTGAGAAATTGTATGAATCTTATGGAACAAAAGTACGAATTGGCATCCTCATTATCCTTATCTTACATCCGTTTTCTAAATGTTTTCCAAGTACGTCATGATAAGGATTTTTCGATCGGCGTTGTCGAGTAACGGTTCAAAACCAGATGACACTGAAGACAAGCTGTGTAGTAAGACTAATGTTTGGTGTGGAAGGTAGACATGGTCCGGCAGGTAGGAGATTAGGTTTCCAGCTGAGGTATCATCCTCGTTACATTTGTGGGTGTTTGAAGATTACACGGTGTTTCGTCAGTAACCCTTGTTGTCTTTAAGTGCGACGTTAATAAGCACACATTCACTAAATATTTTCCTAGAAATTTGAACGTTTGAAAGTTTCAATAAAGAAGCATCTTATATGCTGGAAAATAAAATGACTATTTTCGCGTTTGTTATTGAATAAATACATTGTGAATATTGATGTGTGTGTGTGTGAATGCACGCTCTATAACATTAAAAGCGACCATCCAAGAAAAAGTAACACGTATTGAACGAAATTGCTTAAGTGAGATGCACATCTATTAAAAACGCTAAAAAAACATAATAATTTGAAATATTATTCATACAATATACGAGGGCATTTCGAAAAGTAAAGATACACCGCACGCCAGAGGAAAAAAAAGTTTTGGCCAGCAAGTTGGCAACACAGGTGTTAACCCTGAAGCGTTCGCTTTCTCCTCGCGGTCTTTCAGCATTTCAACGTTGATTCTGGTTAGAGTAGGTTGTGTTTACAATGACTGCGCCGATTCAGATTCCTGCGAAATGCGCTCCTTCATACGTTTTCTTCATGCAAAAGGTCAGCGGATATTCACAAAGAAATTGTTTATGTTTATGGGAACATTATTAATCAACAAAATGTAACGAAATGGTGTCGTCATTTCTCTGAAGGTAGGACCGATGTTCATGCCGAACAAAGAACAGATCGGCCATCTGTGTACTCCTCTGATGCCCTTCTTCAGAGAAGGAGGAACCAATTCGTGCGAATAGACGTCTCAAATTGAAAGAATTGCATCAGATCATATCGGAAGTGTCAATGAAAAATCTTTATGAAGTTGTGACTGTTAAGTTAGGGTACAGGAAATTGTGTGTGCGCTGGGTTCTAAAAATGTTAACGGAAGAACACAAAAAGAAAAGGATGGGTTTTGCACTCGATTTCCTCACACACTATACAAAAGCAGGTGATGAGTTCCTTGATCACATTGTGACAGGTGACGAGACGTGGGTTTATCACCATACACCTGTATCCAAGCAACAATCAATGCAATGGCGCCATTCGAATTCACCAAAAACCAAGAAATGCAAAACTTCGATTTCAGCGAAAAAAATCATGGCTCCTTTTTTTTTGGGACAGAAAAGGCATTCTTCTTTTGGATATTATGCCTTCCGGAACGACAATTAATGCTGCTGCATATTGCAAGACTTTGAAACGTTTTCGAAGGGCAATTCAAAACAAACGCAGGGGAATGCTAGCAAATGGAGTCCGCTTGCTTCATGACAACGCTCGGCCTCACACAGCACTCGTAACCAAATCACTACTCAAACAATTCAAAGGGGCAGTATTGGACCATCTGCCATACAGCCCGGACCTTGCCCCCAGCGACTTCTATTTATTCCGTTACCTGAAGTCACATCTTGGTGGAAAATCATTACACGACGATGATGAGATCAAGGATGAAGTTGAAATGTATTTCCGACAATAGGCGGCAACCTTCTATGACTGTGGGATACAAAAGCCTGTGCACCGTCTTAACAAATGTTTGGATAACGGGGGTGATTATGTCAAAAAATAATAAATAATCCAGTTAATAAGATGTAACTGACGTGTTCTAAATAAATGTTTTCTTAAGGAATGCGAGTCATTGTATCTTTACTTTTCGAAATGACCTCGTAGATTCAAGAGGAAAAATAATCAATAACTTCACCTATAGATGATAATAACTTCACCTTATGTATGTTGTTCTATATCTGTATATTGTAGATTCGGCTGATGACGCTTCTTGTCATGCATTATTCAATTAGAGAACTACATCACTGCGATCTTGGGACGTTCAGAAATGCCTGATTATCTGTAGTACGACCCAAACATTCGAGGACTGCGACCGTTACTGACGACGAAAATAAGTACCTAAACTTAAACCACTTGAAATGGATTCTTCCCACCCTCCTCTAAATGGTTAGGTTGGCTTAGTTCATGTTATGTGACCAAACCGCAAGCGCAGCTGTTATCTTCCAAAGAAAGTTAGTTTTGTTCTGCGATGTAAGAAAGATTGCTTTTCTTGAACAGCGTTGCATATTAAATTCTATCAACGCTTAGATAAAACACCAAAGATGACTATAGAAATTCTAAGTAATATGCAGGGAATCTACCATACCAAGATACAAGGTTTTCGAAAGACATCGGTGTTTTAAAGAGGGCCGATAATCCATCGAAGACGATGAACACGTTTACGACCGACTTCACTGAAAGCAGAAAATGGTACGTTGGTGTCTGAATGTGTTCCAAATGATCGTCGTTAAACACTTGCACAGATCGCTGAAGATACACACTTCTCAAATACGTCGTTTGAGGGAATCTATTTTTCGTAAATGACATCAGTTCTGGCAGAGTGACGACTGGTTTATCGACATGGCAAGACACCAGCAAATAGATCCCAATTGGTAAAAGAGTTCCTCGCCAAAACTCGCACTAACGCTCTTCAATATCCCCCTAGTCATCAGATTTAACACTGTGTGACTTTTACTGTTCCCATCAATGAAAACACAATAACAGGGATGCCGTTTTGTATCATGAGATAAAGTGAAAGGAACATAGAAGGAGGTCTTAATGGAGGTAGCGAAAAGTGGCTTTTCTCTCTAGAAGTTATACGAACGCTGGCAGAAGTGTACCGTCACCCAAGACTACTCCCTTAGACCCCAGGCTATTTTAGAAGGTGGAAGTCTTTTTTTTTTCGAATTTTATTAAGAGTAGGGTTTTTATTCTCTTGTCCCCGAACTTTTGGATCATACCACGTAAGAACACAAAATATCTTTTTGGGGACAGAGATATGGAGATTACGATAGCCCGAGAAGTATTGGAGAAGCATGGGGGGAAAAAGTGAAAAGACATGCCTTTGGGTTTCAAGGCATTTTCTTGTTTTAATTTAACCCCGAAATTTCCGGGGAAAGGGGGCAACAATGCACAGCGTATCATCTTAAACCAAACCAAATATTATGGCTTTAAAGGGGAAACCTCGTATTTAATTTTGGTTTTTTCCGAAAAAGCGATCGGGGGTAAGGGGTAAGTAGAATATTCCACTCGCTGTTTTGAACGTTTCCATATAAATTTTCTTTAATCATCGGAGTTCATTTTGAAGCGGTACTTTTCGTTGAAACATAATTAACCCATTTCACAAAATTCCAGTCAAATGCAGCTGGTTGTGTGCAGCAAAAGAAGGTTTGTTCCCAAAGCCCTCCCCCGACTGTTACCCATCGGATCATCGATATGTGCTCCGGGTGCTGTGAGTTTTGACGAGAAAGGGTACTCGTCTTGTGTTTTGGGCAAACCTCCTCGGTCCATTATCTTTTTTAACATTCATCGCCTTCCCCATTGGGACCCCCCTAAAAACCCTAATTGAAAGATAGTAATTTTCCATCCCAAATGTTGAGTGATCCAGTGTTTTGACCACTCTGATTCCATTATTTCAATTTCACGTCCTCCTTTATCTTCTGGTATCCTCCCCCCATACTGTTCGGGAATTCAACTACGAGGCATTGGTACAGTACATGTGGGTTAACAGAACATATTCGAGTGGAAGTTATGCTTTTGCATTGAAATGTCATTTATTTTTAACACCATCCGAAAACTGCTGTAATGTACAGGAGTTCCAGCTATTCAATTTCTGACCCTCAAATTTAATCCAATGCATATTTTATCTCACGGTATATGAATACTCAGTTTCGTTCCATTTGAATAAATTCTTCCTATCACGTCGCATCTTATGTTCCAGATTGCATTGTTAAAATACTCAGCTCTAACACGTGATTTTTATCTTTTACAATTCTCTTCTAATGCATTTGCTTCACTTCTATGTTCTATATATATAGTTGTTCAACTTCAAATAAAATCTTAACTTAAAATGTATGTATTTTAGTGATTCGTCTGAAAAGAATGTAAAGTTTTTTATTAATCTTTACAAATTTTAGGACATATTTCTCTGAAATGTGGAGACTGCCAATTTTATTTCTGATTTGATACATTTTTTTAATTGATTATTATAAAATTCATATTTTTAATATCTAGATAAACAGATTCAATTTATAAATAATTTCCCTTTTTGAAATTATACTTCTTTTGGGGCGTTATAAAGAAATAGGATGAGGGTAAATTTTTACGATGCGTGTGCACACCGTCACGGACGTAACGCAAACCCGTCACGGATACGAAAACGCTTTGTCTAGAAATATTCAGATCGGGATAGATCATTCCCGTCTTCGAAATTCTCCGGAAAAAATTTCTCTTCAATTCTCTGAGGAAGGGGTCACCCGGGTTTCAACCGGAGACCTCTCGATCTGCAGTCAAATGCCTTACCACTGAGCTATACACCCGCGTTAGCGAACCTTTGCTTTCCGTTCCGTGGGAACAGATACGAAAACTCTTTGTCTAAAAATATACAGAATGGGACAGATCATCCCCGCTTTCAAAATCCTCAAAAAAGTTTTCTCTTCACTTCCCTGAAGAAGAGGACTCCCGATCTGCAGTCGAGTGCTCTACCACTGATCTATCCCTTCGCGTCAGCGAACCTTTGCTTAAGCTACCATAGAAACGGATACGAAAATGCTTTGTCTAGAAATATACAGAACAGGACAGATCATTTCCGCCTTCAAAAACCTCAAAAAAATTTTTCTTGTCACTTCCCTGAGGAAAGGGGCACCCGCGTTTGAACCGGAGACCTCTCGATCTGCAGTTGAATGCTCTATCACTCAGCTATACCCCGTGTCAGCTAACCTTTGCTTTACGTTCCGTGGGAACGGATACGAAAATGCTTTGATTAGAGATATACAGAACGGTACAGATCATTCCAGCCTTCAAATTTCTAAAAAAAATATATATTTCTCCTCACTTCCCTGAAGAAGGGGACACCCAGATTTGAACCGGAGACTTCTCGACCTGCAGTCGAATGCTCTACCACTGAGCTATTCCCCCGTGTCTGCAAGCCTTTGCCTAGCGCTGATTTGTGACGTCATTACTAGTAGGAAGAGATCGTCGTTCGAATACGAAGCTTCTCTGATGCATTTTTTTTAACACTTTTTGTTATTCAACCAAACATACTGAAAGGAAATTAAAAATAATAATAATAATAATAATTTAATCTTTAAATTTTGTTTTATGTTCATAAAACAAAAGAGTAAATATTAGTTTTCCTATTTAAATAACAATTGCAATTATATAATTATAGATGTATTTACTACGAACGCATTGCGATAAACATAAACACATTTATTACAAGGTTGCAAATTATAATAGCCTTTCGTATTCGTATATTTCTTTTTGAAATTATACTTCGTTTAGGGCGTTAGGGGAAAAAGATGAGTGTAAATTTTTACGATGCGCACGCATATGTTCACGACACCGATGCGCGCGCACACAGTTGTCAAATATTTTAACATGCCACTTTTTTGGTGCTATGGGACTGATATTTGGAGGATCAAAAAACTATTTTTTAAAAACCCATATCTGTCGGGAAGCACCCCCCTTTTACAGTTTTTCCAATATCTGGGCCCCCGACCCCTCACAGTTCATTAAAAACCTAGGTCATTCATTTCCTTTTATCTGCCCCTTCCAGTTATTATAAATTTCATGCCATAGGGCTATTTCTTCCAAAATTTTAAATTTTTTAAAATTTTTTTTTTAAATTACAATATCTACCTGCCCAAGTCTCGGACTTGAGATTTGAACCAACTGTTCCCCCTGTCAAGACGCATCCAGTCATCTATTTTTTTCCCCCATTTTTAGACAAAATGTATGTTGTAGTGTTGTTTAAACACTATAATATCATGATCCCATGAATCCTAGGGGGACTAAAAAAAATTTAAATTCCCCTTACCGATTTTTTAACTTTTTAAAAAAATTTTTTTAGTTATAATTTTTTTAAATCTCGCATACCCTCCGAAAATTTTTTTGAGATTCGTTAATGTTTTTGTACCATTGGTTTTTCTTTGTTGAGCTGTTTCATCTGTTATAAGTCGTTTTAGATAGGGGGTTTGGGGAGCATTATCACTAAAATTTGTATCACCAATTGTTATTCCTATGAGGTTCAATCTTTTGATGAAGCAACGATAGTACAAAATGAAAGGATGAAACTTAGGATCCCCCCACTACTTTTGTGTATTTTTTGGGATGTAGGGTGACCATTTACGTCACAGTTATTCCCTTCCCCCGGGGAGTTAGTTTCTTTTTTCCCTTTTTCCGAGCTAGACCCCCCCCTTATTTGCAACAAAGACCTGGGACCGGTTCAAAGGGATTTTTTTTTGTTTTTTGTTTAACCAGTCCCGGGTTTCCGTTGCTGGGTGCTCTACTTTTTTTTTATTTTTTTAAAATTTTTTTAAATTTTTTAAAAAATCCCCCAAAAACATCAGTCGGATGTCTTAATTTTCTCAAGAACGATTATTCCCGCGGTGACATTCAATATGAAGTCTCAGGTGTCACATTCTGTTCACTTCACCTCCAGATACATTCTGATGCCCCCCATGTTATTGGTCCTATTGTTCCTGTGCGATGGTGTTTAAATTTACTTAAATCGTTATTATCTCAGGTTTGGTTGGTCCGATTGACTGAAGGTTAGTATCGTTCAACTCTGCATTTTACTGCCTCTCGTTCTTGCCCAGCTTGCCTTGCTAAAGATTTTTAGGAAGATTTTAATCTTGTTACGCCAAAGAATTTAATTTTGCATGAATACATAAGTACACACACACTTTTTTAAAAATTTTGTTTATTCTATTTGTCTATATTGTGGCATGTATCACAAGTAACGATTTGCTACTTTTAAGATGTTCAAGGATGAAATTTTTTTTAAGAACCAAGGTATAAATTTAAACCCTTTTCTTTTTTCCCAAAGTTATGTTGATGTATCTCTGGGAACTATTTTATTATAAAATACTTTTATTAATCCATTGTCAATAAAAATTTTTTAAGGCTTATTGCAAAAACAGCTTCCTATCTATCAAACCGCCAAATATAAATAGTAGTATTTCTAAAAAAGAAGTTCAGTGGCTGAATGGTAGGGGTATCCCCTTTTCACGCTACAGGTAAGAGTTTCTAACCCCGGGCCAATTGGTCAACTCAGATTTTCATTTCTTCCGTGGGTCGATAAATGAGAAAAACCCTTTGCTTGGGAACTGAACCCCGGTAGTTTTTTTATTCCCCTTGGGGATGTTTCTTCCCCTTGAGTTCAATTCAGCCTGAAAACGGGAAAACTATTGAGAAAAAAAAATTTTTCCGCTGGGGTCTTATTTCAGCTGCCATCTGATTGTGTAAAAAAGTTTCTCCGTCAAAACTTCTGTGTAATTCATAAATAAGTCACTTTTATATATATATATATATATTTTTAAAGTCGAAAATGTTGTTGTTTGTTAAATTAAAAAATATTTTTTTCCCAATTTTTTATTTTCAAACTTTTTAATGTGTTATTTTTCGTACCTTCGGGTGATAAAGCGGGAAAAAAATGGATTCCGTGGGGTCTGTAAGTTTTTTAAAAAAACTGTTTATATTAAGAATAGAAGAAAATTTGTTTTGTGTATGAATTTTTTTAAAAAAATTATAAATTTATATTTTTGATATTTACTTATAAAATCCGTATGTTTTTTTACTATCCATTGGGAAAATTAACATCGCATTTTTTATATTTGAATTTTTTTTTATATTTGAAAAATATTTATTTTTGCTTAGAGAAATTTTTGAATTTTTTCTATATCATTTTATAAATGCTTAGGGAAAGGGGGGATAACATGAAGGTACGTCATTGTTCAAAAAATCTTCCCCCGACCAAATTCCCTTTTCTATTCTAACATCCGTAAAAAAGTGTGAAAAGTATTTTTTGGGTTGAATGAAATAAATTGTTTCCAAGATTCTTGTATTATGTTATGTAAGGAATTTAAAAATTCAGTGAAGTTTCGTACATTTTTTTTTTTTTATAGTTGTAAAAATTTTTCAGATTATTGACACGGCAGTATGAATAAGTACCAAATTTAATTTATTAGGGTCAAAATTTAAAAATATTTTTAAAAAAATTTTATTATTATTGTATAAACATTCTCTAATCTGTCTTTGTATTATAACTTAATAATAATAATAATAATAATAATAATAATAAAAGGTTTATAGATGAATTACTTTAACCCCATAATTTAGGATTAAAAAAGTTTACATAAAACTAAAACTAGTTTTTAATATTTAATCATTTTGCAAGTTAGATGCTTAAATGGCTGTTGTTTAAGGATATGTAGGATAACTATTTTCAATCATTTTTTATAATGTAAAGTAGTTGTTAAAATACGTTTAGAATAGAGGAATTTTATAATTTTCCTGCAAATCATTTCGTAGTTATATATTCGATTATAAAAATGTTTTCTCCATTATTGCCCAAATGTAAAAAAACCGAACTGATTGTTAAATAATAATAAAAAAACATTGAAAATAATAATTTCACAGCTTTAGTTTCATCTGGGAATTGATAACTGCTCTTTTCTGATTTATTTTAATTGTAGTAACGTTCGTATCGATAATGAAAAGTATTGGATAAAGTTGATGATGTGGTTTTTTTCCCAAAAGAAGTCCATGGAGGTTTTTAAAAAACTTTTTTTATGCCTCGCAGAAAAAATGATTGTAGAAGATTCATGGTAGAAAGAAATTCCCTTTTTAAGGAAATGCGATGATTCGGGAAAAAACTGAGTGGGAAAGGGGAAAAAAAAAAAACTATTCATCTGGGAAAAAAATCCCAAAAAGGGTTTTTGGATCAAGATAAACGTGAAATTTTCCTTTTTTGGAGAAAAAAAAACTTGATATTCCCCCGAACATTACTGCTCTTTAAAAGTCGAACATTTGTTTTTTAAATAGTTAAAACTGTTTGCTTTTTCCCGGGTTTTTGTCCCCCGTTTCACTCCCGAAACTTTCGAAGACTATTTTTGAAAGGAACCTCTTAGTTTAAAAGTCTGTCAAGTGACGAGGACGACACCTTTGTTAGTGTCCCGTTTTTTCAAATTTCCCCACCATTCCACGTGTGGGACAGTACCCGGGCACAGTTCATTCACAGCAGTGTAGGGTATCTTTTAAAGGTGCCAGGAATCTGATGCCCGACTCAGCAACGCTTAAAAACCAGGTTTACATGTTAACGTAACTCACGGATACCACGAAATTTTACATCAAAAAATGCATACCCTTTAAAACCAATTTTCTTTTTTAACTTTTTTTACCCCATTGGGAAATTCAGGGGGAGAATAATTTCTTTTTCTTTTTTTTTTTTAAAAAAATTCATTGTCTTTTAAAGGGAAAACGCAAAACCCTATCCATTCAAATTTTCATTAGAAATATTTTTCTTTTTTATATATATATATATATATTGTATATTTTTTAGGGAATTAATTTTTACAACAAGGAAATCCTTTAATTGCAAAGTGAATATCCAAAGTAGTCAAGTGCAAAATTTTTCTTTTTTTGAAAAAAAAAGTGTTCTTGCAAAAAAGTAGTCTGTTGTCCAGAGGAGTGAATGTTTGGGCCAAATGTTCAGCCACACTTTGGGCTTGGGGGATGGACCTCTTAATTTTGAACCATAGTCAATTGGCGATGAGAACACCTGAGATTGTACTTCTTCTCTTTAAATACCACACTACACCAACGGGGGGACGCCCGGGGCTTTTCGACGATTTAACGGGATCGCCCCCCATTTGGGCGGGTTTTTGTGGTACGGGCTCGAACGCAGGACATGCCTGTCATGACTGGGTACCTGGGCCACTGGGGTACCGCCCCCCCTTTTGTTGTCCCAATTGGGGCAATGTTAAAAAGGTAGAGACCGTTTTTTTTGGGGGTTTCAGTAGCTTTTTTTTAAAGTAACGATAGGATGATACAAATAATCCTTTTTTAAAATTCCCAAAGGGGGACAATTCGGATATTTTCTTTCAATGGGGTACCTTTTTTAACAAAGATATGAT